TTAATTTTCCCGTGTTTACCATATCTGAGTAATTAAATTTCTCTCGTTGAACTTCATATTTTTTTTATGCACCCCACGAAAATTTGGTTGATGTCCGCCTGGAGCCTTGCAGTGCGCAATGGAAGACACTGTCAGCGATCGGGTGTCACTGCAAAGGAAGCCTTTTGGTGGGGCTGACACCCTTTGTCAAAGTCAGATATAGGATGGGGAACAGATGGGGGAGTACTGTCCTTGGGGAAACAGATTTTCACCGAAAGCTGCCTCAGATTTTACTCTGTTGACGACTACTCTCTGTTCTGTTAGTGAGAAATTATAGATCCATCGACCGATTTTTTCCTGTTATTCCTTTAGCACGCATTTTGTGCCTATTACGCCATGCTCACACTTGTCGAAGGCTTTGAAAAGTCTGTATATATTACATCTGCATTCTTTTTGTCTCTAGTGCATTTAGGACCTTGTCGTAGGATCAAATAGTTGAGACAGACAGGAGCAACCTGTTCTAAACCCATGTTGCCCGGGGTTGTGTAACGATGGGTTTCTAGATGGGTGGTGATCTTGCTTCTTAGGACCTTTTCAAAGATTTTTAATGATAGGGGATTTAGTGCTTTTGGGTCTGTATTCTTTGCTGTTGCTTTACTGCCCCCTTTTGGGGAGTGGGGCTATGTCTGTTGTTTTTAGTAACTGTGGGACAACCCCCATGTCCATGCTCCCTCTCCATAGGATGGAAAAGGCTCGTGATAGGGGCTTCTTGAAGTTCTTGATGAACACGGAGTTCCATGAGTCTGGCCCTGGGGCAGAGTGCATAGGCATATCATTTATCGCCTGTTCGAAGTCATTTGCGCCCGGGATAACATCAGATAGGCTTGTGTTAATCAAATTTTGTGGCTCTCTCATAAAAAATTCATTTTGATCTTCGACTCTCAGTCTGGTTAGCGGCTTGCTAAAAACTGAGTCATATTGGGACTTGAGCTCACTCATTTCCTTGCTGTCATCTGTGTAGCACCCATCTTGTTTAAGTAGGGGCCCAATACTGGACGTTGTTCTCGACTTTGATTTGGCATTGGAGAAGAAATACTTTGGGTTTCTTTCGATTTCATTTATGGCGTTTAGTTCTTCCCGCGATTCCTGACTCCTATAAGATTCCTTTAGCTTAAGTTCGATGCTTGCTATTTCTCTGACCAGTGTCTCCCTATGCATTTCAGATATATTGACCTCTTTTAGCCAGTCTGTTATCCTTTTCCGTCGCCTGTAAAGGGAGCGCCTGTCTCTTTCTATTTTACATCTACTCCTCCTTTTTCTTAGAGGAATAAGCCTTGTGCATACATCGAGTGCCACCTAGTAGAATAGAAGGAGACGGACTAACGTCCTGAGACGTCCCATGTTTTATCTACTTACATGTGCACTTGTATGAAGTTGCAGGATGTAACCCCTCATCATTGCAGCGGTAAAGAACCTGCTTTCCTGTCATCTGGATAGATTATTTTACGGCTATAGACTCTGTGAAGAACGAGCCGGTGGGTTGTCACCAACACCTGCGACCCCCCCCCCCCACATCATCAGCAACGGTTACAATTTCAACAACACGCAGTGTCACCAACACCAGACACCCAAGTTTTATATATATTAGCGTTGAATTCAGATATCATTTATATTTTTCATTTTCAGTTTCTTTAATGTAGGATCAATATTTCATATTTAAGTGTTTTATATTTTATTTTTTCTAAAAAATTAAAGTGTTTATTTTTGTCAGTTTGTTCTTTCTCTAGATTAATTTTCCCTGAGGGGGAAACCCACCTTAGTAATATTGACTAATTTTTTACAGGTGATAGCCCACATGCAAAGGGGCTGTTTTGTGTAAATATTATGCAAAATTTTTGGGAGTGTGGAAATTGGGAGAAGTTGGAGTTAATAAAAGTATTAGTCAGGGGCTAAAGAGGGGTTTTGAGGGGTTTGGTCATTTAGAGAGAATGGATCAAAGTAAATGACAGGAGAGCATTTAAATCTTGGGAAAAGGGAAGGGTGGGTAGGGTTGTCCCAAAAAGGTTGGGAAAGGGGAAGGGTGAGAGAGGTTTTGGGGGCGAGGGTTTGGCCTTCCACAGGCGTGCATGAACGAATTCAATAGGGGTGAATGGAGACGAATGGGATTTGGGGCCTGACGAAACTGTTAGAGTATGAGCAGGGGAATATTTATGAAGGGGTTCGGGGGGAAACCCTTATTTTTAATACTGGGCTTGAGTCCTGGGAAAAGGCAAGTACATGCCTGCATCTAAAGGAGGGGGTTTTTAATATTAGCATTTGGAGGGATATGTTGTGTATCTTTATACAATGCTTCTTAAGTTGTGTTCTGAGCAACCTCTGCAAAAAGGATTATTGGGGATGAGTGAAATGAAATGATGAAATATTTTTTTTTTGAGGATTTTCTCTCTTTTTGGGAAACCCTGCCCGTGGGAACGGGCCCCCTTGTTGGGGAAAAAAAAAATTATATATACGGTATATATATATATACATATATATATATATATATAATATAATATAATTATATATAATATAAATATATATAATAATATATTTCTCAACAAGTTTGGCCGTCTCCCACCGAGGCAGGTGACCCAAAAAAGAAAATATTTCATCTATTCAAAAACTTTCACCCCCTCAACATTTTCACTGTTTTTGCAGAGGTGCTCAGAAAACAACAATTTAGAAGCAATACATAAAAAGATACCCCAAAAACCCCCAAACTGCCAAAACCGAAACCCCCCTTTAAAGTGCAGGCATTGTACTTCCCTTTTCCAGGGCTCAAGTCCACTTTTAAAAAACTGGTTTCCCTGAATCCCTTCACTAAATTTACCCCTCACACCCAACAATCGCAGGTCCCAATACCTTCGTCTCCATTCCTCTACTAACACCCCACGCACGCTTGCTGGAAGTCCAAGCCCCTCGCCCACAAAAGCTCCTTTTCCCCCTCCTCCAACCCTTTAAGGGCGACCCGTACCCCGCCTTCCTTCCCCTATAGATTTATATTTTCCAGTCATTCTACTTTTATCCATTCTCTCTAAATGACCAAACCCCCTCAAACAACCCCTCTTCTGCCCCTGACTAAACTTTTTTAACTCCACACCTTTTTTCCTAATTTCCACACTCCAATTTTTTATAATTTTACACCACACATTGCCCTTAGACGGGACACCCACGCCTCCAACCGTCTCCTCGCTGCTCATTTACCACCCAAGCTTCACTCCATTTTACCGGAGTTTACCTGGAAGATTCCCGGGGGGTCAATCCCCCCCGGGGCCCGGTTGTGACCGGCCTCCTGGGGGATAAAGGGCTGATCAACCAGGCTGTTAATGCGGCTGAAACGAAAAACCCCAAAACGTACGACCACTGCCCGGTTGGTCGGGAACCGACTTTAGGTCTTGTTCAGTGCCGCTTGAAGACGCCAAGGGTCTGTTGAATCCCCCTTACTATGCGGGGACAGTTGAACAGCCCCTCGGGCCCCGACCTCATTGTAGGGTCTCTTAACATGCAGTGACACTCCTGTTTTTCAGGGGGGGGGATTTGAAATCGTCTCCCAATTTTTTGCTTTCGTAGTGATTTTTTTCTGTCAATTCGTACACCCCCCTCTAGGATTTTCCGGGTGTATTTAATCATTATCTCTCCCGCCTGCATTCCAGGAATACGGGTTTTGGGAACCTCAAGGCCCCATAATTGAGGGTTTTTTTTTCTCCGTTATGCGCGCCGTGAAGGTTCTCTGTACATTTTCTGGCACAATTTCACCTCCCCTTGAAAGGTGGTTAGGTGCAGAAAAATTTCCAGCCTAATAAAAGTGACCTGAAATTTCACATGGCTTGGCATCCCTAGTTTTGAAGTTCTCATTATCCTTTCTGTCATTTTTCTAGCAGATGCGATTTTATACAAGTTTTGGTCCTTTAAGGTGAGATCATCCACATGATCACTCCCAGGGCTTTACGTTGTGTTTCGCTCTATTTTTGTGGCCAGAATTTGTTTTTTCACCTGATGAAGATTTTAATTTCCCTGTTTTGCCATATCTGAGTAATTGAAATTTTTCATCGTTAAAACCTATTGTTTTTTGCAGCCCACTGAAAAATTGGTTATCCGCCCGAGCCTTTCTGTCTGCAATGGGAAACACTGCATCAGATTCGGTGTCATCTCAAAAGGGAAAACACGGGGCTGTGGGGTACATCCTTGTCTATGTCAAATAGGGTGAGGAACAAGAGGGACAAGTACTGTGCCCTTTTGGGGAAAAAGCTTTTCACAGTAGCTGCCTCGGACATACTCTGTTGACTAACTCTCGTGTCTGTTTGTGAGGAAATTATAGACCATCGACCGACTTTTCCCGTTATTCCTTTAGCATGCATTTTGTGCGCTATTTCGCCATGGTCACACTTGTCGAAGGCTTTTGCAAAGTCTGTATATATTGCATCTACATTCTTTTTGTCTTCTAGTGCATCTAGGACCTTGTCGTAGTGATCCAATATTTGAGACAGACAGGAGCGACCCTTTTCAAAAACCCATGTTCACCTGGTTTTTGTAACTGAGGGGTTCAGATGTGTGGTGATCTTGCTTCTTAGGACCCTTTCAAAGATTTTTATGACATGGCTTGTGTTAACCAAATTCTGTGGCTCTCTTATAAAAAATTCAATTTAATCTTCGACTCTCAGTCTGGTTAGCGGCTTGCTAAAAACTGAGTCATATTGGGACTTGAGTAGCTCACTCATTTCCTTGCTGTCATCTGTGTAGGACCCATCTTGTTTAAGTAGGGGCCCAATACTGGACGTTGTTCTCGACTTTGATTTGGCATAGGAGAAGAAATACTTTGGGTTTCTTTTGATTTTATTTATGGCTTTTATTTCTTCCCGCAATTCCTGACTCCTATAAATTCCTTTAGCTTAAGTTCGATGCTTGCTTTTTTCTCTGACCAGTGTCTCCTTACCCCTTTCAGAAAATATTGACCTCTTTTAGCCGCTCTGTTATTTTTTTTCCGTCGCCTGTAAAGGGAGGCCTGTCCCTTTCTATTTTACATCTACTCCTCCTTTCTTAGAGGAATAAGCTTGTGCATACATCGACGGCACCGAGTTAAACTGTTCTAGGCATAAGTTTTGGGCCTGTTTTCTTATTTCTTCCAGCTTATATTTAGGATTTTGTTTACTTGGGCCCACTTTTTGTTTTGGGTTTTTGAAGTTTTAATTTGGGGAATGCTCCCTCCCTACTAATCTCATTATGTCGGTCTTGGGCTCCGGCATACATGTCTGAACCTCAATTATGTTTTTGATCTGAGTATATTGTTTTGATATGGTGACATTTAGTATCAATCATCATTGTTTTGTGAAAATGAGGTCTATGTATTCTCCAGTCTAGTAGCTCTATTATTTGCTGGTTTAAATTGAATTTTGTGCAGAGATTTAAAAGCTCGGTGAGTGTGAGTTTTCACAGAGGTGCCTCCTGGTGTTATTACTGCACCAATATTATTTGCTATATTCCTCCATTTTAGGTGCCTTAAGTTGAAATCCCCCGGGGTAAGATGTTTGGGGCAGGAGCTGGCAGATTTTCCAACAGTGGTTAATTTTTGTCAGCTGTTCCTGGAATTTTCTGGGATGTTGCATCCGGAGGTTGTAGACTACCCAATAAAGGTTTTGTTCTCGATCTTTACGTAAAACTTCCACTACATCATTTGGGGCATTCACATTCGTGCACACAAGTCTCGCAATTTCGGGCCAACCCCCCCCCATTGCCTTCACTCTTTTTCACTGTATAGGTTGAAACCGGGGATCCTTTTTTTCGTTTCCAAGTGATCCTTTATGGGGTCCATGAAAGCCGCAACTTGCCTTTGCCTCTCAAGCACCCACGATAAAGGGTTTTTTTGTTTTTTTTTGCGCTTTAACCCTGTATATTTGCAAAGAAAATGTCTCGGAACTGGGGGGATTGTTGGTACGGGGGGGGGGGGGGGGGGGGGGGGGGGGGGGGTTTCCGGGATTAGTATCTGTATCTGTTGGTTTGGGGGGAGGGCCCTCGCGTGGTTTCCCCTCCAGGAAAGACTGGATTTTGGGTACAATTCTGCCATTTTTCCCGCCAGTTTTTTTTTTTTCCGGCACTAAAAAAATCTCCCTCTTTAGTGGCTGTGGGTACCCCAGGTTTTCCCATGGCTGGATGCTTTGTACTTTTTTTTCCCCTTTTAAAGTGTGCCTGGGAATTTAAGTTTTACACACTTTCCCGCACTGAAGAGGACACATTTCAGGGGGAAAAAGTTTACAGAAAAGGGGTTTGCATTTTCCTGTTTCAATTTGGGGACGGCATTTTCTAGATGGGCATATTTTTCACGTCCCATCTGTTTTTCCAGATTTCCCATGCCCGCAGAACCAAGTCTATATGTGCACAGGCTACTGGTGACAGGGCCCGGTACTACTAACTTTCATACATTCCCTTCTTTGCCTCCATAGAAATTTTTTACTCCCCATAACCTCAATGCACCACCACCTTTTTTTCCCATCAATTCTATGTTTAAACCTCATCCTTCAAAAATCCATCCGCCGAAAACGTAAATCCCAAGTACTAAAAACATCACTTCTTCCTACCCTCCCCCCCAAATTTGATATCCAATTTTTTTTTTATCAAAAATCTTTTATACCTCCCCTTTTTCCCTTTTCTATTTTTCATTAAACTTTCTCCCTTTTACACACATTTCCCAAACCATCCACAAACCCTTTTGCAATTTTTCTTAAATCTCCCATAAGCACATTCATCAGAAAAAATAACTGTGCCACCCATTTTGAATTTGTTTCCCCCCAAATTTAATCCCCACCCCCCCCCGAACACCCTAGCTTTCTTTTTTTTACAACTCCACTATAAATAAAATAAACAACCAGGGGTGACATTACACCCCCCTTTTAAAACCTACTTTTCCCGGGAAATATCTCCCCTCTTCACACACCCAACCTACCTACAATCCTCATAAAAACCTTTACACTTTTAGTAACTTACCACCTTTTCCACAAACTTCAACATCTCCCAAACATTCCCCCTCTACCACTCTGTCATGCCTTTCTAAACCATAAATGCAAAAAAACTTCCCTCCCTTTATCTAAAACGTCACATTTGTTTTCAATGTGAACATTATCTAACATCCCCTACCCACTCAAAACCCCCTTGCTCATCCGCATCCTAAATTCTTCTTACCTCAATTCTTTAAATTTTAGACCTACCAAACATTTTCCTGTATACTCAAAACTTTATTCGTCTAAAATTTTTTTTACAATCTCTTTTGCCCCCTTTTTTCCCTTTATAAAGGGCTACACATCCTCTGCCAATCCCTGGGTACCTTCCCCCTTCATACATTTATTAAAGAAAAGTACCAACCACTCCAACACTAAAACCCCCCTGCTTTTTTTCATTTCGTCATGATCCCATCAGTTCCCCCTGCTTAAAACCCCCCTTTTATTCTACTAAAAGCCTCACGTACCTCCCCCCACTTACATCTGCTCTTCTACAACCCTAAAAGATGGGATACCTCCCCGGTCAAGCATGAAATTACCACCTCCCTCTCCCTCAAAATTTAAAAATTTCCCCAAAAAAAATTTTCGCCATCTACCTAATACCTCCCTTTTTTCCCATCTACTAATTCCCCCCCACTCTGTTTTTTACCTGACAAACCAACTTTCCCTAGGCTTTTTTACTGTTTTTAAAATCACCAAAAATTTTTTTTTATTTTTATTAAAATTTTTTTTGACAGTGCCTCTCCCCCTCTATCATCGCTCTGTTTTTTCACTCTCACCCTCTCTTTACCTTTTTTTACCCTCCTATACTCTGCCTTCCTTTAAAACTTCTCTTTTAAAAACCTCTCAAAAACTACCTTTTTTTTTTTAAAACACACCTTTTACTTCATCATTCCACAAATCACTCCTCTTTCCTCCTCCCCCACCCCCCTATAACCACAAACTTCTGCCCCACATTCAATACTGCATTTTTAAAACTATTCCCCCCCTCTTTTAACCCCCCCCCCCCTACCAAACAGCACCGCCCACCTTTCTGCCAATAGTTCTTACATTTCACCCAACTTCCTCCCCCCTTGTTTTTACACTTTCTCCCCCCTCTTACTTTTGTTTCCATTTTTCCCTATCCCATCACCCTTAAATCAACTGTACTACAACTAAATAAGATCCGATATACATTCCCCTCATAAACATTACATCCTGGAGCCTACCCATCAACCTTTTATCCACCAATACTAATCTACAAACTCTTCAAAGTGCTACATCATACCTTTTATATTTATTTTTCCTCTTTTTCATAAAAATGTATTACTTATTTCCAAACCTCTTTCACAAAATATCAATTAAAGGCTCCCCATTTTCATTTACCCCCTGGCACCCCAAATTTACCTACATTTTCCCTCCAAAACATTTTTTCCCCCCTTTTAGCTTTTAAAAACCCCCAAACCCAAGTACTCTCACCTTTTCAAAACTCCCCACGCAATTACTCAACATTATATTATAATATATAATATATAAAATATATATATATAATATATAATATATATAATATATATAAAAATATATTACGTAATACGTAAATGTATATACATGATACAGTGGTACCCCAATTTCGAATTTATTTCTTTCCAGAATGCTCAGAGTGCCAATACCAAAAGAATCTTTTCCCATATGCAAAAAGTAAATTAATTAGTCCATTCAGACCCCAAAAAAATACTTACAAAACGCACTTACGCAAAAACTTACACTTACAAATTGTTCAGTTGGGAGCATTTTCGAAACTCAGGTACTTTGGGGTTTACCTGGGGTTTACCCGGAAGAGTTCCGGGGGGCCAAAGCCCCCGCGGCCCCGGGCTTGAACAGGCCTCCGTGGATCAGGCCGAATCAACCGGTGTTACTGTTTGGGTGCACGCAATCCAACGTACGACCACAGCCCCTGGTCAGGTACCCCACTTTAGGGGCTTGTCCATTCACTTGAAGTGCCAGGGGTCATTGGGAATCCCCCTTTTCTATGCGGGAGGGAGTTGAACATTTTTTGGCCCCCGACACTTATTGTACACTCCTTAACGGCTAGTGACACCCCTGTTTCATGGGGGGAAAGTTGCATCGTCTGCCAAGTCTTTTCTTTCGTTGTGAGTGAATTTTCGTTGCAAGTTTATACAGTCCCTCAGAATTTTTTAGGGGGTATTAAATCATGTATCCTCCCACCCGTTCCAGGGGAAAACAGGGTCAGGAACTCAAGCGTTCCCAGTAATTGAGGTGTTTTATCTCCGTTATGCGTGCCATGAAGGTTCTCTGTACTTTTTCTAGGTCAGCAATTTCACCTGCCTTGAAAGGTGCTGTTAGTGTGCAGCAATATTCCAGCCTAGGTAGAACAAATGACCTGAAGAGTGTCATCATGGGCTTGGCATCCCTAGTTTTGAAGGTTCTCATTATCCATTCCTGTCATTTTTCTAGCAGATGCGATTCATATAATGTTATGGTCCTTGAAGGTGAGATTCTCCGACATGATCACTCCCAGGTCTTTGACGTTGGTGTTTCACTCTATTTTGTGGCCAGAATTTTTTTTTGTACTCTGATGAAGATTAATTTTCCTCGTGTTTACCATATCTGAGTAATTGAAATTTCTCATCGTTAAACTTCATATTGTTTTCTGCAGCCCACTGAAAGATTTGGTTGATGTCCGCCTGGAGCCTTGCAGTGTCTGCACGGGAAGACACTGTCATGTAGATTCGGGTGTCATCTGCAAGGGAAGACACGGTGCTGTGGCTGACATCCTTGTCTATGTCAGATATGAGGATGAGGAACAAGATGGGAGCGAGTACTGTGCCTTGTGGAACAGAGCTTTTCACCGTAGCTGCCTTGGACTTTACTCTGTTGACTACCACTCTTTGTGTTCTGTTTGTGAGGAAATTATAGATCCATTTGCCAACTTTTCCTGTTATTCCATTAGCACGCATTTTGTGCGCTATTACGCCATGGTCACACTTGTCAAAGGCTTTTGCAAAGTCTGTATATATTACATCTGCATTCTTTTTGCCTTCTAGTGCATCTAGGACCTTGTAGTAGCGATCCAATAGTTGAGACAGACAGGAGCGACCTTTTCTAAACCCATGTTGCCCTGGGTTGTGTAATTGATGGGTTTCTAGATGAGTGGCGATCTTGCTTCTTAGGACCTTTTCAAAGATTTTTATGATATGGGATGTTAGTGCTATCGGTCTGTAGTTCTTTGCTATTGCTTTACTGCCCCCTTTGTGGAGTGGGGCTATGTCTGTTGTTTTTAGTAACTGTGGGACGACCCCCGTGTCCATGCTCCCTCTCCATAGGATGGTAAAAGCTTGTGATAGGGGCTTCTTGCAGTTCTTGATGAGCACGAAGTTCCATGAGTCTGGCCCTGGGGCAGAGTGCATGGGCATGCCATTTATTGCCTGTTCGAAGTCATTTGGCATCAGGATAACATCAGATAGGCTTGTGTTAACCAAATTCTGTGGCTCTCTCATAAAAAAATTAATTTTGATCTTCGACTCTCAGTCTGGTTAGCGGCTTGCTAAAAACTGAGTCATATTGGGACTTGAGTAGCTCACTCATTTCCTTGCTGTCATCTGTGTAGGGCCCATCTTGTTTAAGTAGGGGCCCAATACTGGACGTTTTCTTGACTTTGATTTGGCATAGGAAAAGAAATACTTTGGGTTTCTTTCGATTTCATTTATGGCTTTTAGTTCTTCCCGCGATTCCTGACTCCTATAAGATTCCTTTAGCTTAAGTTCGATGTTTGCTATTTCTCTACCCAGTGACTTCCCTTACGTATTTCAAATAAAATTTGCCTCTTTTTGGCCCCTCTGTTATTCTTTTTTCCCTCGCCTGTAAAGGGGTTTCCTGTCTCTTTCTATTTTACATACTCCTCCTTTTTCTTAGAGGAATAAGCCTTGTGCATACATCGAGTGCCACCGAGTTAATCTGTTCTAGGCCTAAGTTGGGGTCTGTGTTGCTTAGTCTATCTTCCCAGCTTATATCATTAGGACTTGGTTTACTTGGTCCCACTTTATGTTTTTGTTAATGAAGTTGAATTGGTGAATGCTCCCTCGTGACTATCTCATTATGGGCGGTCTGGGCTCCGCGCATACATGTCGAACCTCAATTATATTGTGATCTGAGTATATTGTTTTTGATATGGTGACATTTCGTATCAGATCATCATTGTTAGTGAAGATGAGGTCTAGTGTATTCTCCAGTCTAGTAGGCTCTATTATTTGCTGGTTTTAAAATTTTAAAATTTTGTGCAGAGATTTAAAAGCTCGTGTGTGTGTGAGTTCTCGTCCGACTGCCTCCTGGTGTTATCACTGCAACCACATTATTTGCTATATTCCTCCATTTTAGGTGCCTTAAGTTGAAATCTCCCAGGAGCAAGATGTTGGGGGGCAGGAGCTGGCAGATTTTCCAGATAGTGGTCAATTTTTAACAGCTGTTCCTGGAATTGCTGGGATGTTGCATCTAGAGGCTTGTAAACTGCCACAATGACTAGGTTTTGGTTCTCGATCTTTACTGCTAAAACTTCCACTACATCATTTAAGGCATTAAGCAGTTCTGTGCAAACAAGTGACTCTGCGATGTACAGGTACCACTGTATGTATGTTTATATATTACACACACACACACACACACACACACACACACAAATGCAAATGGATTAACGAATAAACATGAGGAATGGCAAGAAAGAATCAATGAGAAGTCCCCAGACATCATAGCAGTTACAGAAACAAAACTCATGGAGACAATAACAGATGCAATCTTCCCACCAGGATACCAGATCATGAGGAAAGATAGAAGGGGCAGGGGGGGAGGTGGGGTTGCTCTGCTCGTAAAAAACAGATGGAAATTCGAGAAAATGGAAGGAATAGATGAGACGGGAGAAAGAGACTACATAGCAGGTACACTTCAGTCTGGGGAACACAAAGTGGTCATTGCAGTGATGTATAATCCACCACAGAACTGCAGGAGGCCAAGAGAGGAATATGAAGAGAGCAACAGAGCAATGGTGGACACACTTGCTGAGGTGGCAAGAAGAGCTCACTCCAGCAGAGCAAAGGAATCGTTCAAGACACTGTACACTGTGTATGTTAGGCCCATACTGGAGTATGCAGCACCAGTCTGGAACCCACACCTGGTCAAGCACGTCAAGAAGTTAGAGAAAGTACAAAGGTTTGCAACAAGGCTAGTCCCAGAGCTCAAGGGAATGTCGTACGAGGAAAGGTTAAGGGAAATCGGACTGACGACACTGGAGGACAGAAGGGTCAGGGGAGACATGATAACGACATACAAGATACTGCGGGGAATAGACAAGGTGGACAGAGATAGGATGTTCCAGAGAGGGGACACAGGGACAAGGGGTCACAACTGGAAGCTGAAGACTCAGACGAGTCACAGGGACGTTAGGAAGTATTTCTTCAGTCATAGAGTTGTCAGCAAGTGGAATAGCCTAGCAAGTGAAGTAGTGGAGGCAGGAACCATACATAGTTTTAAGAAGAGGTATGACAAAGCTCAGGAAGCAGAGAGAGAGAGGATCCAGTAGCGATCAGTGAAGAGGCGGGGCCAGGAGCTGAGTCTCGACCCCTGCAACCACAATTAGGTGAGTACAATTAGGTGAGTACACACACACGCGCACACGCACACGCACACACACACACACGCACACTTGTGTTGCTGTCATTCGCATCTTTACTTAGATAAAAGCGTAGCTATAAGACATGAACTTACCTGCAGAACATCCGTCTTCACAGAGCTCACCTGATACTCCAGGTGGACATGAGCAGTTACCTGACACAGGGTGACAGGTGCCTCCATTCTCGCAGCGACACACCTGGAATTATCAGAGCGCACCTGTTATCAGGATACACCTGTTAATAATGATACCAAACCAGATGATACTGTGAATGTTGATATGTAGATGAGGATAGTGCAAGAATGAAGGTGAGGCATCAAAAATGAAGGTGAACCTACAATAGTGAAGGCGAGTTCAGGTGGCACTGGTGCCGCTTGAGAGGCAGGGTTCACCTTGATGCTAGTCTAGTATTTTGAACATGCCAACCTATAATATTCGCATACCTTTGATATACCCTTGATGGGTATCGAGAGTTTTCCCAAGTCTCGCAGCCTGGCCCTGGGCCAGGCTCATCTGGTGCTTTCCTGGTCAACCAGGCTATTGCTGCTGGTGGCCTGCTGGACCACATATCCATCACAGCCTGGTTGATCTGGCTGATACACCTGTAAATTTCACTGCACATCTGTATATATCAATCATTCATGACAGGAATCAGCAACACCAACAACAATAATCCAAAAATTTAAACAAAGTCATAAAGTCGTCTAAAAAATACACAAACCTTAATAAAAAAATTAGGCCAATCTAGTAAAAGGATGACAGGATGGCATAATTAATTAGTTAATCAAGTAACAAAGTTATCTTGTAAAGTTCATCGAGGTCTCAGCAGACTCCTTGGCTTATCTCAAAGTCCAGCAGTTTGATTTTTAAAGAACGAAGCCTTAAGGGAACAGTTACAATGTAAACTGCTGAAACTGGTGAGAGAACATGCGAAATGGGCCTTCTGGTTACATTCTAGTTAGTAGATATTAGGTAGATAACTGAGGGAGCAGGCGTAATTGTTCCCATGATTACATTCTGGGTCATAGGAAGTGGGTAGTCAGGTGAGGGAAGACGTGGAGCGACTCACCTGGTTACATCTAAGGCCACTGGAGTCAGGTGGACAGGTAAGAGAACAGGTAAGGGACTCACCTGGTTGCAATCTGGACCATAGGTGCCAGATGGACAAGTGAGGGAGCAGGTGGGGCCAGTAGTGCCAGCTGGACACACACAACCAGAAGCATCACACTGACCAGGACAGTCATCACAGGTTAATGTGCAGTTGAAACCAAAGTAGCCTGGGACACAACCTGTACGGAGAGATGGGAGGAAAAATATGGAAGAAGTGTATGATTTCAGATGCTGTACTTGGGAGTTGATGTGTCGGTGGATGGATTTATGAAGGATGAGGTTAATCATAGAACTGATGAGGGAAAAAAGGTGAGTGGTGTGTTGAGGTATATGTGGAGACCAAAAACATTATCTATGGAAGCAAAGAAGGGAATGTATGACAGTATAGTAGTACCAACACTCTTAAATGGGTGTGAAGCTTGGGTTGTGAATGCAGCAGCTAGGAGGCAGTGGAGATGTCCTGTCTAAGGGCAATGTGTGGTGTAAATAATATGCAAAAAATTTGGAGTGTGGAAATTAGGAGGTGTGGAGTTAATAAAAGTATTCGTCAGAGGGCTGAAGAGGGGCTGTTGAGGTGGTTTGGTGATTTAGAGAGAATGGATCAAAGTAGAATGACATGGAGAGCGTATAAATCTGTAGGGAAAGGAAGGCGGGGTAGGGGTCGTCCTCAATAAGGTTGGAGGGAGAGGGATAAAGGAAGTTTTGCTTCCAGCAAGCGTGCATGAGCGTGTTAGATAGGAGTGAATGGAGATGAATGGTATTTGGGACCTGACGATCTGTTGAAGTGTGAGCAGGGTAATATTTAGTGAAGGGATTCAGGGAAACCGGTTATTTTTATATAGCCGGACTTGAGTCCTGGAAATGGGAAGTACAATGCCTGCACTCTAAAGGAGCGGTTTGGGATATTAGCAGTTTGGAGAGATATGTTGTGTATCTTTATAGGTATATGCTTCTAAGCTGTTGTGTTTTGAGCACCTCTGCAAAAACAGTGATTATGTGTGAGTGAGGTGAAAGTGTTGAATGATGATGAAAGAATTTTCTTTTTGGAGTCACCCTGCCTCGTTGGGAGATGGCCAACTTGTTAAAAAAAAAAAACAGAGGCTTGTGTAAAGAGCTTGCTCTGCACCAGTATTTTTCCTTCATTAGTGTCAGCAGAACATCTGCTGACAAAAAAGCTGACTACACTAACATCCCTTCACTGCTCCTCTAGACACCTTCCAGCCATCATCAACAGCCTGACTGGTCATGAGCCTGGACTTAGGATCGAGCCTTCATAACTCCGAGCTAAATGCCCCACATGGATAGAGGAGAGAACCTCCATCACTCCTCGAGTTTTTACTCACACGGCTGGAAGATTCAGTATTCACCAAGCGTTGCACTTCATGACCCACATGGGTTTTCAGTTTTATAAACTAAAAAAATTCAAACATCTTTCCCTCCCCATGAAAAATAGACACAAATGTAATATAATGCGATCCTTTATTGACAACATTTCGCCCACACAGTGAGCTTTATCAAGTCAAACATATCCTGACTAACACTAATGCTTTCACATTATGTGTATTATATCCACGGGGAATTGCCTAATCTTTATGCGTCACAGCATCTGGGGAAAGGGGAGGTAATCAGGTTTTCATCTGGTGAAGAAGGTAGCTCCAGCTCCTTTGATTAAAAGTTTTGACGTTTAGAGAGGGTGGAGAAAAACGGGATGGCTAGGAGGGCGTATAAATCTGGGGAAGATGGAAGGAGGTACAGAGGTCGTCCTAGGAAAGGTTGGAGAGAGAAGGGGTAAAAGAGGTTTTGAGTGCTAGGGGCTTACACACCCAATAGCCTTATGTGAGCATGTTAGGAGTGGAAAGAAGCGATTTTAAAAAATTGACATGGAGAGTGAGCAAGGTAACATTAACGAAGCGACTTGAATCCTGGAGGTCTGACGTATACTGCCTAGATTCTGTTGAATGGTGATATTAGCATACTCAAGTGTCTGACGAGTGATCCTAGTATACTCACGTGTCTGAAGGGTGGTGATTTTAGCATACTCAGCATATGTGACGTCTTCTGGCAAGTCAGCATCACTAGCTGCAGTGTCAAGCACGACCTCTGAATCCTCAGTGATGGTTGCAGAGTCCAGGTCCCCAAGAGTGTCCTGAGGTGTGTACTGCCCCTCCACCACTAAGGTCCCAGAGAAGAGTAGAAATGATATTAATGTACCTTCCAGTAGTAATAATAATAATAACAATAAATAATAATATATACGCCAGGAGTTTACTGTGGTCCCCATTTTAGGAATTAAAGTATTCTTGGCTATTGATGAACATGTTATATGCAGCCTTTAACAGCACCCCTGTGTAGTCGAAAGGCTTTAAACACCATTAACCAATCAATACTAATAATTCAAGTGCAAAAAAAAAAAAAAATAGAGTATACATGAAAGAATATTTGTCATAATACTGTGATAGCTATATGTGCAATATTTTCTACACTAGCACCTTAAAAAATAAAAAGTACTGTACACTGTGCAAAACAATCTGAACAACTGGATTGACAGAGGTAATATTTGACTCCCTAACACCTAATGCTATAATGGATCAGCACCAGTTTAGAGACGTGTTGTTATGACACACATTATAATGTTCTTGGGAACTACTAAACTTGGAGAAAGAGAAATTAATTCAGTCTGATCTAGAAAGGAACAGAATTTTGAATTCCTAAGATAAAAAAGACTTTGATCAGTATCAAAGAATACCATCATTTAGGTGAATCACTCACAGGAACATCGAAATTCTGATGTGCATAATAGTGGCTAAGACTTTAAAGATTAATTTGAGGTATTCAGAGAGTATAATTGAGGGAAGGAATGAAAAGATAACGTAAAATGGAGGTAGCAGTTTGTTTCCTATCCACCTTCGTGAATCGTATAATAGTATCTCATGAATAATTTGTAAATCTATATAACTGGTTAGATTCAAAGGTCCATGCAATGACCAAGAAAGAAGTCGCCCACAGAAGTGCCGCTTACTGCACATTCTCTGTTTTTCCTACCATTCTCTGTCAACTCTAGAGACTGTTGTGCATGGAAATCCCAGGAGATCAGCAGTTTCCGAGATACTCAAACCACCCATCTGTCTGGCACTAACAATCATTCCAGTCAACAAGTGAACCTCGTAACCATGTCTGCATGCTTTTTGGGACAAAGGTGCTACCATGTGATTGGCATTAATGGTGGCCCTGAACTTTTGTCAGTTGTAATATTTGCCAGAGCAAAGTCCCAACACGAGTCTCAATTTTCTGAAGACTCATTTAAATTCACTTTTGTGAGCACGAATGTTAGTGTTAAGCTGACTTACTGTCACAGCGAGTGTGGTCAACAAGAACATATCCCCAGTGGCAGGAACACATGTAGGAGCCTCTTGTGTTGTGGCACTGGTGCTCACACCCGCCGTTCTCTAGCTCACATTCATCCACATCTGGAAAGACAACAGGAATTAATGGAAAGCAAAGTAGTCTTTGTCTCTTTTGCTACTTACCCAACACTGTTCTGGTAGAAACTGAATCTTAGTAACTAGGTTCAAGGGCTATACCCTTACCAGTGGACACATTCTTCTAGGATCACCTCAAGTGAATATCCCAGAGAAAAATATACAAAATTTTATTGGTTAGTAAGTAGATTAATGGTACAGTATATTTACTGATAAGTTCCTGAAAAGATGGAAAATGTTTAGATGTACAGGTATAGGTTTAAGCCATAAGATTTAGCCTGTGGTATATAAGACATAGAAGAGTATTGTAAAATATGAAAGTAACAAATTATTCAGGATGATTTAATAAGATGATTCCAACAAATACGCGAGCACGTGTGCACGCACATGTTCACGCACACACGCACACACAAACTAAACCAAACCCACTAATAAAAATAAATTCACATACTAAAATTAAAAAAAAATCAATACATACATTAATAAAAGGTTTAAATATTCATCTTTCTAAAAAAATCAAATATCTGAAAGATTTCTGCTGTTGCTCCAGCACATATAAAAATGTTGCTGTAAGCAAAATGACCAAAGCTTCAAATAATATATGCGATACCTGTTGCAAGTTGAGCAGAAGGAAGGAAAATATTATAAAAGGTGTTAACTTTGGTTAAGTATATTCTCAAAAAAAAAAAAAATCATTCTTGTGAAAAGGTCAACCATCCATGACTTACCGGACCTTGTACAGGTTGCTGCTCGTCTGTTGTATAAGGCAAACTAAGGCCTTTATGTACTGTGGAAATACTGTACCTACACATATAACACAAGTTATCACTGTGAAGTACGGTTAAGGGCTCATTACTTACCCACACAGGTGAAGGTGTCGGAGCTGAGAGTATATCCCAGGGCACAAGCACAAGCATATCCACCAGCAGTATTTACACACTCCTGCTGGCATCTGTGAGTCTTGGCCTCACACTCGTCCTCGTCCTGTAAAACAACTCGTGAGTAAGCAAGATGTCAAGACTCTGCTGATACTAAGTATATGACCTAATGAGGATTCAGGAAATAAACATTACGCAAATCGAAGTATTCGTTGAAAGCGTTAATTTACGGTGAATCATTCAGCAAGGCAAATTTTGAGTAAAAGGTCTCTTTAGAGTTTAGAAAAGGGAAGGATTAACAGTTGTGGTGGCCCCTGGACAAGCAATTTGTGGAAGCTCCAGGGCAAACAATTTGTGGGGGGCCAAAGAGCAAGCAACTTGTTGATGCCAAGACAAGCAACCAGTGGATGCCATGAGCAAGCAATTTGTGAATACCAAGAGCAAGCAATTTGTGGATGCCAAGAGCAAGCAACTTGTAGGGGTCTCAAAGCAAGCAGTTTGTATGACCTCCCAGAGCAACTTATGGAGTTCCTGCCTCTGTTACATAGCCTGTCAACCAATATCAGCTGTTTTTCCTATAGAGCACATGAATTCATCTGAAAAATGTCATATTATTATTCCCACATTGTCCAGAACCATGGTTTGTGGAGGCCCCTTTTATCTTTGGGTAGGGAAATGGAAGGCACTGAGGGAAGATCCCAGTTTGCTCTTACTAGTGATATCTCCCAACTCACTGGTTCATACTGACATATTTCATCACTTGGTGTATGAAATCCATCCTGTGTGATGGAATACAATAGGGAAGCATAGCTAGTGTTTGTTCCCACTAGCTATTATACAAATTGATATTAGTCAGGAGGTATAAGGCACATTTTTAATAAAACTCTTCATTTTGTAATAAAAGTATGAAATTTGGCACACAGTTTATTTAGCACACAATGACTTATTTAAAAATCTGGATCTCTACCAGATTTGACCTTTGATGGAAATGTCAGCCATGCACAAAAATGGCCCCCACACAAATTTTCAGTTCCTTATATCCTGGTTCTTCATTTTTACATCTCTATGTTAATACCCAGGAAATCAAGTATGATATTACTTTTAACCTAGCATGTGTAACTCCACTTCATACACATAATAATAATACAGGATTTGTTACTTTTTGCCATAAATTTTCACCAGTTAGTAAACTTACAGTTTATTCTCTCATCTTTTCAAACCACTGCTGACTAGAACCAGTGACAAAAACAATGGAGCTTGTGAAACATGTCACTGCCTCTTGGGACACATCAGATTCCATACACTGGATGAACTGCATTTTTATCAACTAACAACTATACTCTGGAGGTGCCAGATACAAAACACCTGCTGATAATCTTCATGTCTTTGCTAAACTTGATCAGTTGGGATCTTCAGTGCAACTACATCGTCTTGATGATTGCTGTAATAGCTCATGTTAATGACTTCATCCACATGTAACAGATGAATTCCACTGCCGTTGACAAATGTCATCTCATCAGTTAAAGGTGGCATTACTCACCTGTGATATGTGTCATCACTCATTAGCTAAAAGTTACATCACTCACCCGTCCTAGTGGTTATCACTCACCTTACAGGTGTGACGGTCTAGCTGCAGCAGGTACCCTGGATGACAGGTACAAACTGGTCCTCCTGGTCCATGACGACACATGTGCTGACACCCACCGTTGTTCTCCAGACAAGAGTTGATCACCTCCATATCAATCACTGTAAGAAAAACAATAATGAATTCCAGTTAGATGAATTCAGATTTAGAAACAATAGTGTTCAGAGAAAAGTGGGCTAGAGAGAATGTATGTAACGAGGGGGAGGTCAAAGATGTATGGGGAAGATTTAAGAATGCAGTGTTAGCGTGCACAGCAGAAGTTTGTACATGTAGGAGGGTGGGTGCGGGAGAGAAGAGGAACAATTGCTGGAATGACGAGGTAAAGGGAGAAATCTATTAGTGGAGGTAGGTCATAAATAGGTTAAGCAAGCTTTGAATAATTCTCACATTTAGGTCATAAGATGTTGTTGTGTCTGACAATTTGAATAAATGGTTTAAAAATCCTCCAGATGTCAAACACAGCAACATATTGTGATCTTGTGGCGTGGCAGGGAATTCTTCAAAGCTTGCCTAACCTGTAGACACGACCTACCTCCACTAGTGGATTTCTCCACTGGTGACTCCGCCTACCACTGCTACACCTCATCTGTGAACATGTACTTTTGTCAAGACTGATGGATCGAAAGCTTCAGATGTTACTAAATCTGCATCTGCTATTATCCCTGAATACAGTGGTCTAGAATACTTATTGCCACATGAATGGTGTTCAATACTTGCTAGCAGTTAATAGTAGAGTGACTAGTAACCCAGAATATTTTAACTGGATAGGTTTCGTCTAATTAAAACTGGAAACACAGAAGTCGGTAGCTCTGACCACTTACTATAGCATGATTTATGGTCTGTGCCAAGCTGATAACCGGCATTGCAAAAACATTCGTAGGATCCCCAGGTGTTGCGGCACTGGTGACTGCAGGAGCCTGGCATCTGGCACTCATCCACATCAGTGCAAGAGATCTGGTCGTCTGCCAGAGTGAAGCCTCGACGACACGAGCAACGAACACGACCAAGTTCGACCTGACAGTGGTCATGGCAGCCGCCATTATCCACAGAACAAGGGTCCACTAGCTCGCACTCTCGTCCATCCACACCCACACGGTACCTGCAGAACAAGATTTAGTCCCACATCAGGAAACACTCATCCTGTTTCCTGACATACCTTACCTAACCCAATTGGGACAACGTTTCCATCTGTGTAGAGCTTTATTAAGTCATGGCTTGATAAGCTCTTACCTGGAGCTTACCTGGAGAGAGTTTCGGGGGTCAATGCCCCCGCGGCCCGGTCTGTGACCAGGCCTCCTGGTGGATCAGCGCCTGATCAACCAGGCTGTTGCTGCTGGCTGCACGCAAACCAACGTACGAGCCACAGCCCGGCTGATCAGGAACTGACTTTAGGTGCTTGTCCAGTGCCAGCTTGAAGACTGCCAGGGGTCTGTTGGTAATCCCCCTTATGTGTGCTGGGAGGCAGTTGAACAGTCTCGGGCCCCTGACACTTATTGTATGGTCTCTTAACGTGCTAGTGACACCCCTGCTTTTCATTGGGGGGATGGTGCATCGTCTGCCAAGTCTTTTGCTTTCGTAGTGAGTGATTTTCGTGTGCAAGTTCGGTACTAGTCCCTCTAGGATTTCCCAGGTGTATATAATCATGTATCTCTCCCTCCTGCGTTCCAGGGAATACAGGTTTAGAAACCTCAAGCGCTCCCAGTAATTGAGGTGTTTTATCTCCGTTATGCGCGCCGTGAAAGTTCTCTGTACATTTTCTAGGTCGGCAATTTCACCTGCCTTACGTTCAGGGTCCAAACCGTAGATCTACGCCATGAGCTCAGCTCACTCTGAAAAACTGAGAGTGGTAAATTTGGGCGTAGATATGAGAGAATACATCTATGTGGTATGTGTGCACCACATAAAACAAATCCTGCAGCACACTGTGTATAATGAGAGAAAAAACTGAGACCAAGATTTTTTATTAAAACAGCGACTTTGCAGTGTTTTTTCGTATGTTTTTATAGTTGTATTTGTGATTTCCTGGTCTCATATGATAGAATGGAAGACATATTACAGAAATAGAGATAATTTTGATTGGTTTTTAGCACTGGAAATGGCTTGAAACTGAGCTCAAAGTAGCAGAAATGCAGCCAATGTTCATGAGTAAACAAACGACCTCACATGTCCAATACACGCCAGCTGGTGGGTCTAATATACATTCACAAATGTGGTGATGATATTTATACAATTACAAAATTACATAACAGTAAATCTTCTATTTTTTGGTTTGAATAAAAATTCATTATGTGAATAAGAAATCAAAATGGAATTCATTTGTAAAGCCTCAAAACGTAACTAATGAACAGAGGAAACGTTAGCTAAGTGCCAGGAATGCCTACACTGTTTATCCTGGACCGTATTTTGAAATTGGAATATTTTGAACTTTGTGTTAAATTGGCCAAATTACCAACTTCCGATCACTCTATTTTGTAGTTGAAACAGTTGACTTGGCCTCTGGACCCTGAAAGGGTTAAGGGTGTTGATGATACATAAGACTTCTGTTGGGTTGGTTGGGGCTAGAAATAGTGTATTCAGGTAGGTACCCATGAGGTAGTCTGATGGACGGGTGTTTGAGCTAGGGATCTTGTTCACTAGATTCTTTCCTATGGTGGAGAAGAAAACATTGAGTCTGTTTGCTGTTTCAGTTGGTGGGAGTAGGGGTTCATCTGATTTTTGTTAATTTGATTGTTTTATTTTTGGATATCTTTTTAGTTCCTAGAATTTTGGATAGGGTCTTCCAGGTCTTTTTCATATCACCTTTTATGTTACGTAATCTGTTTTCATAATACAAATTTTTTCCACCTTCTTATCAGGCTGGCAAGGATTGACAAGTAACATTTAGAATGGTCTCTAGTTATTTGACCCATTCTGCACTGTTTTTCATGTTGGTGCTTTGTGTTAATGGATTTAACCCTTTCAGGGTCGGCAGGCCCTCTCCTAAACTTGTTCTCAGGGTCGGAAATTTTTCGCAAAAAAAAAATTATTTTTTATGAAATGATAGAGAATCTTTTCCCGATCATAATAACACCAAAAGTGTGAAATTTGACGGAAAACTTAAGCAATTATGTTCTTGCGAAGTTAGCGGTATTGACAATGTTTACGCACCGGTGATTTCACCCATTTTGAGCCCTATTTTCGGCCAATTCCACTGTACTAGATGACAAAAATCATAACTATTTTGCTAGAACTCTATTTTTTCTATCGAATGAGTACAAGAAACCACCCATTTACCATTTTCAACTACCCAATAAAGTGGTCAGAACTTGGCAATTTTGCCAACCTCACACAAATTTCAAAAGATGCCAATTTCAGAATAGACAGAATAGATAGTTCAGAATAAACAAGACAGACATTCCTGGAAATCAAATAACACTTCCTCTGTTCACTAGTCATGTCCCCATGCCCCTCTTACATCTCTTTTGCTTTCCACTTTGAATTTTTATTCTCACAAAAAAAAAAAAATAGAAGATTTACTGTTATGCAGACTACTGCATTAGTGAAGAAATGGAATAAATAACATCAGCGCACCCGTGAAAGAATATCAGACTCACCAGCTGACGTGTACTGGACTCTGCACAAAGCTGTCACAACAAAAGTTTATTCTATATCTTATGTCTTTATACATACTTCTTTGCAATATGTCATTTCATCCAGGTTACAGGTACATTATTTACTAAACAAAAGCAATTTGTAAACATAATAGGTAGTAATATAGCCTACATAGTGTCCAGGTTATAGTAACTATACCAAAAGAACAAAGAAGCAAAAGCTTATGACGAAGTTTCGAAATGTCAGTGGACCAAAACGTTGTCATAAGCTTTTCTCTCCTATGTGCAGGTTATTTGTGTAACTATACTAAATTTTCTACCCCTTAAGTGAGGTCAATCAATATCAGTGAGTGGTTCTTGATCTAAGGAACTAGAATAGTCCTCCCTTTCCTTGAACCTAACCTGATTGTCCTCTCAGACGCTCCATACCCTCTCATCCTTTCAACTGAGGTTCCTTGATGCTGGTGAGAGGCTCTTGATCTGGAGAACTGGATGTGATCCAGTTCCCTGAATTAAGCCTGAATACCTTCCATCTGGACTGGACAGGCACCTTAAGTCAGTACCTGACCAGCCGGGTTGTGGCTCGTACGTTGGATTACATGCAGCCAGCAGTAACAGCCTGGTTGATCAAGCCCTGATCTACCATGAGGCCTGGTCACAGACCGAACTGAGGGGGCATTGACCCCCGGAACTCTCTCCAGGTATACTCCAGGTATCCCTCCACAGGCGCTGTATAATCCAACGGATTTAGTGCTTCCCCATGATTCAAATTCAAAGTTTATTCTCTATAAGGATTACAATGCTGAGTTTACAGAATTTGGTTATTGTGTGGTTTACAAGTAGTAAAATAATGATTACAGAGTGTACCACTAGAACACCTAGCATGGCTAGGCATTTCGGGCAGACTTAGTTTAATTCTTAATTTTAAAATATTACAAATTATGAGGTAAGTTGGTATTATGGCTAAGTGACTAAATACTAGTTTGTGAGTTTAGCAATGTGAATGTTTTTGTTTTGGCACAGTACATAGTTTCAGTATTGGAGTATCACAGGATTCATTATTTTAAGATTGTGATTAATATTTCTGTTTATGGTCAAATGGGTGAGTGAGTGTAAGTGTGAACCAGCAGGTAGTATTCGTGTAGTTAGTCGATGGGGTGTATCAGGGAGATAAGATGTTTTCTAATGGTAGTTTTGAAGGTGATGAATGTGTCTGCAGTTCTAGAGTTCTCAGGTAGGGTGTTCCAGATTTTAGAGCCTTTGACATACATTGAATTTTTGTAAAGGTTTAGTTGGACACGGGGAATGTCGTAGAGATGTTTGTGTCTGGTGTTATGCCTGTGGGTTCTGTCACAACTGTCAAGAAAGCGTTTTAGGTCAAGGTTGATATTGGAATTTAAGGTCCTGTAGATGTAGATTGCACAGTAGTAAGTGTGGATGTATTGAACAGGGAGTAAGTTTAGATCTATGAAGAGTGGGGGGGGGTGTTGCCAGGGATGGGATTTGGTGATTATTCTTACTGCAGCTTTTTGTTGGGTTATTACTGGCTTTAGGTGTGTTGCTGCAGTTGATCCCCAAGCACAAATAGCATAGGTGAGGTATGGATAAATAAGTGAGTGGTATAGTGTGAGAAGGACATTTTGCCGCACATAGTATCGTATCTTGGAGAGGATCCCAACCGTTTTGGATACTTTTTTGGTTATGTGTTGGATATGGGTGCTGAAATTCAGGTTGTTGTCAAGGTATAGGCCTAGGAATTTGCCCTCATTATGTCTGGTAATTAGAGTGTTGTCGATCTTAATGTTAATTTGTGCATCTCCTGCTCTGCTACCAAACATAATATAGTAGGTTTTGTCAGTATTAAGCGTAAGTTTATTGGCTGTCATCCAAGTCGATATTTTAATCAGCTCCTCATTCACAATGGTGTTGAGGGTGGCAAGATTAGGGTGAGAGATGACATAAGTCGTGTCGTCAGCAAAGAGAATGGGGTTCAGGTGTTGGGATACGTTTGGAAGATCATTGATGTATATGAGAAAGAGCAGGGGACCAAGGACACTTCCCTGCGGAACTCCAGTATCAAGTGGCTGTGTTGTTGATGCTGTGTCTTTAATGGTAACATACTGATACCTATTAGTAAGGTAAGATTTGAAATAAGCAAGCGCATGGCCTCTTATACCGTAATGGTCAAGTTCGTGGAGTAGGATGTCGTGGTCTACTGTGTCAAAAGCTTTTCTTAGGTCAAAAATTCCTAGTGGATATTCCTTATTCCTTATTTCCTTATAATGCATACACTCGTACTTAGCAATTATATAGAGGAAAGTGTAGCAGGGATTATATTATCCACTACAAATCTTATGATTACAAGCATTGATCCTGATACCAACCTCTTATTTAATGACTTAAATGATTCAAACATTTACTGTAATTACTACACAGCAGAACAATCAAAGGCACTTCTCAGAGCCAACAACAACATAACTATCTTTAACTACAATATCAGATCTTTAAGCAAGCATTATGATGACCTCCTAGCATTACTAAATTCCTTGCATGCCAATATGTCCATTATTACACTAACTGAAACCTGGCTAAAGCCTGATACTACAGATGTCTATGCCATTCCTGGTTACACAGCCATACACAACTGTAGGCCAGACCAACAAGGGGGTGGCACAGCTATATACTACTCAGACCAACTAGAATGTATCACTAATACTTGCACAAGGGATGAACATGGGGAATATATAATAGCTAAATTCAAATCCAAATACCTACAAAAACCTCTCACAGTGATAAACATCTACAGAATTCCACAATCAAACATTAGCCAATTTAGTCAAAACCTAGGAAGTATGATAACTGATGCACGCATGAACAAAGATCACTTACTACTCTCAGGTGACTTCAATATAAAACTCCTGCAAGACCAGGACCCACACGTTACTGAATTCACAAACACAATGAGTAACTGCATGTTGCTACCAACAGTAACAAAACCTACAAGAGTTACAGAGACTAGTGTTTCCCTACTTGACCACATCTGGACCAACACCATATCCCCTTTAAAATCAGGCATAATTACAGATAATACCACAGACCACTGCCCTACTTTCCTCATAACAACTCTTGGTAAAATACCCCAAGACACTACTAAAGTCACCTTCAGACTTCACAATGAGGCAGCCATTAATAACTTCACAACAGCAGTAACAAACATTGACTGGCACACTGAGCTAGAAATCTATACAGTGTTTTAATAATTTTCTAAAAAAGACCCAGTACCTTTATAACAAGCACTGCCCTAAAAAAACTAAACAGATGACAGCTAAGAGACTGAACAGTCCCTGGCTAACACCCAGCATTCTCAAATCCATAAATACAAAACACCGATATGAAAAACAGTACAGAATGGGTCACATAACCAGAGACCAAACAAAACGTTACTCGTCAATCCTAACCAGCCTGATAAGAAGGGCAAAAAAATTGTATTATGAGAACAGATTATCCAACTTACGAGGTGATATAAAAAAGACCTGGAAGATCCTATCAGAAATTCTGGGAACAAAAAAGATATCACGACATAGCGAAATAAAATTAGCAAAATCAGATGAACCCCAACTCCCACCAACAGAAACAGCAGACTCAATGATTTCTTCTCCACTATAGGTCAAAACCTTGCCAATAATATCCCAAGCTCAGATACCCCACCAAATGACTACCTCACTGGCAACTACCCGAACACACTGTTCCTAGCTCCGACTAACCCATACGAAGTCTCCCTTATTATCAACGCACTGAAAAACAAGACAAAAAAGCGTCACAAGTACTATCACCAATCATTGCAACACTCTTTAACAAATCCATTGAATCCTCCACCTTCCCTACAGTTCTCAAAATAGCAAGGGTCACCCCGATCCATAAAGGAGGAGACCAAACAGAGTTGAATAACTATAGGCCAATATCCAATTTACACCCTCTCTCAAAAATCTTCGAAAAATTAATTCATAAACGAATCCACTCCTACCTCATCTCCCATAACATTCTCAACCCCTGCCAATTTGGATTCAGGCCTAATAAAAATACTAATGATGCTATTATACACATGCTAGAACATATATACACTGCAATAGAGAAAAAAGAAGTCCCACTGGGGATCTTCATTGACTTACGTAAAGCTTTTGATACAGTTGACCATGACTTGCTCCACGTAAAATTGTCACACTATGGTATTAGAGGGCACTCCCTCAACTACCTCAAGTCTTACCTCAGCAACAGAAGCCAATATATGTACGCAAATGGGGCAAGCTCTTCCGCACAAACCAATTACAGTTGGTGTCCCACAGGGAAGTGTCCTTGGCCCTCTTCTCTTTCTCTTATACATAAATGACCTACCAAATGCTCGCAATTACTCAAACCCACACTTTTTGCAGATGACACCACATACGTCTTCTCTCACCGAGCCCAGTCACGCTAGCCAATACTGTAAACACCGAATTACAGAAAATATCTACCTGGATGAGGACTAACAACTTACACTAAACATTGACAAAACGTACTTCATTCAGTTTGGTAGCAGAGCTACAGATGTACCTCTTAACATAACGATAAACGGATCACCTATCACAAAGCTAACAGAGGGAAAATTCTTAGGAATCCACCTCGATAATAGACTCAAATTTCATACACATATACAACAAATTTCTAAGAAAATTTCCAAGACTGTAGGCATACTATCGAAGATACGGTACTATGTTCCACAGTCAGCCCTCCTGGCCCTTTATCACTCTCTTATTTACCCCTATCTCACCTATGGAATTTGTGCATGGGGCTCAACAACAATTAACCATCTCAGACCACTAATTACCCAACAAAAGGCTGCAGTTAGAATGATAACAAATTCTCACTACAGGCAGCACACTCCACCAATATTCAAAACACTCAACCTACTCACCATACAAAACATCCATACTTATTATTGCACTTATTACATACATAGAACACTTAACTCTGATATTAACCCTCCCCTCAAACATCTTGCCACCTCAACAGAACACATGACCATAATACAAGGCACAGATCACTCTTTGATGTTCTCGTGTCCATCTCACGCTATGCAAAAACCAATGCACATAAAAGGCCCTAAAATCTGGAATTCATTACCTGTAAATATAAAAGAAACACTACCTGTTTATAAATTCAAGTCTCTTCTCAAAGATCACTTACTCACTCAAAACCAAATAAATACTGAATAACTGAACCATATAAATTGTATATCCTAAATGTTACTCACAATTATATCACACAAATGTTAAACCTAACTTTGTTATTTTTTTTAAATACACTACCTAACAGAATACTCCATTCTACTGAATGTACAACAATACATGTAACCATATGACCTGTCTTTGTAATACTCATTTGTATTTTATAGTTATCTGTTTACAATAATGTCTTATCACTGATTTCAGCATTGCTTAGTTAATCTTAAGTTAATTTTAAGCCAGCCCGTAATGCTATGCATATAAGTGGCTTTGGCATGCTGCTCTTACCTGTATTTTTTGTACCTCTGTTTGTATGCTAAAATTTCTAAATAAATAAATAAATAAATAAGGATTATATTATTAAATTATTACTTGCCGGTATTGTATACCATCAGTAATAAGTTAAATAAATTAGACAAATGTGCAACACTTGGGTATCTTTAATGAGGAAACGTTTCGCCACATAGTGGCTTCATCAATCCATACAAAGGAGAATGGTGAAGAACAGGAGGAGTTTGAGGTAATCAGTCCCTCAGCCTTGAGTCGATGTAGTCAGTCCAATACTTTTCAAGACTGATTACCTCAAACTACTCCTGTTCTTCACCTTCCTTCTTTGTATAGACTGATGAAACCACTATGGCGAAACGTTTCCTCATTAAAGATACCCAAGTTTTGCACATGTCTAATTTATCAGATCCCGGGAAGTTGCAGCAGCAATACCCAGGGTGCCCCTCAAGGGAGGTTCCTTGACGTTGGTGAGGGGCTCTTGATCTAGGGAATTGGATCTTTGCTCCACTTCCCTGAATTGAGCCTGAATATCTTCCATCCCCCCCCACATGAGCTGTATAATCCTACAGGTTTAGCGCTTCCCCTTGATGATAATGTTATAACATACCCAGGGCGACAGGAGCAGACGACCCTCCCTAAAGAATCATTGCAGACGTGGTGGCAGCCGCCGTTCCTTACACTGCAAAGTTCCTCACCTGTTTAATACAGATGCAATGTTACCCATAGGTGTAAAGTTATCACAGGTGCAATGTTACCCATAGGTGTAAAGTCATCAGTTATCTATGATGTGCTTGGTTACATTCTATATATACCAATATTTACATAGCATGTACAACCTTCAAATGCACTATTATTAATATTAGTAGTAGTAGTAGTAATAGTAACAGTAGTAGTAATAGTAGTAGTAATAGTAGTAGTAATAGTAGTAATAGTAGTAGTAATAGTAGTAGTAATAGTAGTAATAGTAGTAACAGTAGTAGTAATAGTAGTAGTAACAGCAGTAGTAATAGTAGTAGTAACAGCAGTAGTAATAGTAGTAGTAACAGTAGTAGTAATAGTAGTAGTAATAGTAGTAACAGCAGTAGTAATAGTAGTAGTAATAACAGTAGTAATAGTAGTAGTAATAGTAATAGTAGTAGTAATAGTAGTTGTAATAGTAGTAGTATAGTAGTAGTAGTAGTAGTAACAGTAGTAGTATTAGTAGTAGTAGTAGTAGTAGTAGTAACAGTAGTAGTAGTAGTATAGTAGTAGTAGTAACAGTAGTAGTAGTAGTAATAGTAGTAATGGTAGTAATAGTAATAGTAGTAGTAATAGTAATTAATATTTTATATGTAAACCATACATTGTAAGCTTTGCAAGGAAATAAACATTTATTATATATTATTATAGTAGTAGTAATATGATGTAGAACCGCTGCCGGGAAGCAGAAAATAATCTTGTGTGATCCGAAGGGGAGAGTAGCTCCAATTCCTTGGATCGAGAGTTCTTCACTGTCATACAGACATCCCCTTGAAAGTCTAATCTAGAGATTTTTCGATTTTTTGTCCTACTTTTAAATCTCTTTCAGGCTCTTTATCCTCTTGATTTGTAGATTATAAACATGTCAATCATTGATTAGTAGATCATAAACTTGTTGGTAATATAAACCATTGATAATCAAAAGAAGAAGCTACGTGTTCCCTAGTTACTACAGTGTTGATGGTGAAATCTTCCTGCTACACTGTGTGTGTGTCAGTGACTCCAGACACAAGTGGTGGTGCAGGTGGACTCACCTATGCAGGTGCGTCCATCGGACAGGAGGCGGTGACCACGACTACAGCCACACTGATATGATCCCTCTGTGTTGACACACTCGTGGGAACACCCACCATTGTGGTAGTCACACTCGTCCACGTCTGTGGGTGTAACATGGTCTTCATCACAAATGAACTGGAGAGGACACAGAATAACGTTTCAGTCTGTTCTGGGTCAGTATCAAGTCACGATAATGATACAGGACAAATGGAAGCGTCTAATTTCATCTTTGATTTAGGGGTTAGTTGAATTAAATAGAGAAGAAATGTCGACAGGGCTCGTCTTTACTGTTTCCTTCCCTGGGACTTTTATTCCACCGATGTGGCCCCCACTGAAGTGTTTCTCTGTAGGGTTTCCTTGCACGCTCATCTACCAGGCAGCTAATCTGACGATGGTTCGGGATGGGTGTCTCAGCCTCTAGGACTCAAAATCTCCTTTACCCTCTTTTTTTGGGGACAAACCTTACTATTCCTTTTATCCATCCCAGATATATACACCCTCCTAGCCATTCCATTTTGTTCCTTCCTCTTAAATATCCAAACTACCTCAATAACCACTCCTCAACCCTATAAATAATATTTTTTGGAACTCCCACACTGACTTCTAACCTCTAAGCTCTGAATTCTCTGCAGATATTCATACCACACATTGGTCTCAAACACATCTCCACTGCCTACAGCCTCCTCTTTGCTGCAGTATTCAAAATACATGCCTCGCACCCATACAACAGTGTTGATACCACTATACTCTTCTACAGTCCTCTTTGTTGCCTCCATAAAGTTCTTTGTCTCCACAGATGCCTCGGTGCACCACTCACGTTATTTTTTTTTTATCAGTTTTATGGTTCGCTCATCTTTCATAGACCCCTCCATCGATAAATTCATTCTTAAAATCTTGAACATATTTACTTCCCCCATATTCCCTCCCTCCAATCTGATATCCAGTCTTTCATTGCCTAGTATTTTTTTGTTATTCTCGTCACCTTGCTCTTTCCTATATTCAGTTTTAATTTCCTTCTTTTACATACCCTCTGGGGTTTCTCGTGAGTGGCTGATGAACCAACAATTAGTACAACAGTGAGGTCCCGACTGCTGGTTCACTGGTCGGGAGGGCAGTCTTTATGAGCGTGTGAACATGTCCAATAAATTGTAATATACTCTTCGCATGTTACACACTAACAAACTGCGGTCATAACTCTGTATATATCTCATGTACTTATACTCTTCTTTAAAAAAAGTCATACCTACTGTGCCCTCTACAACAGTTTCTCTTACTTAAGCGGTTAGGTTCTCCCCAACAATTAATTTCTCACTTGGCTCAAAACTTCCCAAACATTTGCTCAACACCTCATAAAATCTCTCTTTCTCTCTCTCACTTACACTCTTCTCTTTCCCAGGTGCATAAAACACTATAGCCCACTTCTCACATTCACCCTTGTTCTAATCCATTATAATATATATATATATATATATATATATAATATATATATATTATATATGTTGTATAATATATATATATATATATATATATATATATATATACTATATATATATATTAATTATATATATATATATATATATGTATATATATATATATATATATATATATATATTATATATATATATATATATGTATTATATATATATATATATATATATATATATATATATATATATATATATATATATGTATATATATATATATATATATATATATATATATATATATATATATATATATATATATATAAAATTTAAACACTCATTCTCCCCCTCTTCTCCTTCCATAGTTGATTAATGTTATTGCTTCTCCCTTAGCGCTAGCTGTCTCAGTTACATCTGATTCTCCTACCCTCTTTAGCTTTCTTTCACAATCAATTCTTTCTTCTCGTCTGTACAACATCCACGTACATTCAACTCCTACTTCAAAATTTCCTTCATTTTTATTATAATAATTGATACCAGAGAAGGGGTTACCAGCCCTTGTTCCCAGCTGACTCACATGCGTCTTAATCAACTCCTCATGTGTGAAGCCAAGAGAGAAATTTACCTATGTTACTGCTTAAAAGAGCCGTTTTCTGCAAAAGAATTTCTCGAGAAAACCATGAAGTCTCAAAGGTAAACTTAAGCTTGACCTGTAACAGAATGAAATAGAAGCAACAGCTGTCTCCTAGTAAGTTAGGAACGGTTGTCAGGCACGATCCAGTAACTGGAACACCAGCAATAGCTGGAACATTAAAACCAGAAACAAATTCAGACACACTCATTTCAACAGTGGCAGTTGTCAGAAAGGACCCCAGTGGAATTAAAGGACCCCAAATGGAAATAAGTCACTGACTTTTTTGGGTTATCCCAGGTTCTCTACACATATACTGCTATGTATGATAATCTATGTAACTGTATTTGTGTATACCTGAATAAACTTACTAAATATTAACTAGTAGCTACAGCAGTAGCAGCAGCAACAGCACGGCAGGAAAAATACACCTACCATGACACGAGCGGTTGTCAGACATGAGTCTGTATCCAGGACTGCAACAGCACATGTAAGCACCGTGGGTGTTCTTGCAGTTCTGATCACAGCCGCCGTTGTTCTGACGACACTCGTCCACGTCTGTCAACACGAGGAATGACACATTATTGAACTTGTCTGAGCACTCAGGAGTCAGGAATAAACACGAAAATTCTTTGCTCCATACAGTTCACACAAATGTTTAAATGAACTTACAAGAGCATCAGTGTAAGCTCTCCACTCTGATTCTGGAGTTTATTTTATTTACATCTGAGTGGAGGTATTGAACCAATCTCCAACCTACACTGGCACCACCAGGAATCTGCGTTACATTTCAACGTTTCCTGGTTATGTGCAATTACCAGACGTATTACGACATGAAATTTTCATGTGATGTGTGAGGTTAGATAATAGTATCTTTACTTACTACAAGTACATGTACATGGTATACGATGTGAATATCAGAATGGTATACAATACTGACAGGAATAAAGTTGCCTATGTGTCTTACCTACCAACTTGTCGGTATTGTATACCATTTTGATATTCACTCTGTCAGACACTGCAACACAATGGCATCTTGGTACAAAAGAGAAAACACCTTGGACAACTTTTTCAAGTGAGAATGGTTTGATCTCAGAGGAACGTGATCTCTCAGTGGCTACATTCTCACTACTACTACTCTGCAGCTCTCCTTCCCACAGTATTTAAGTCTCAACACTGTCGCTTGATCTTCAGACAGTTCCAAACTTTGGAACAGAACTTCTCCAGGCTGAGGGACTGACAACCTCAAATCTACGACTTCAAGGGTGATGGACGGGATTACATCGTCTTCACATCTCCACTTCTGTACTCGACTGAAAAAGCCTCTGTGTAGGCGAAACGTTTCGGAATAAAAGTTGCCTAATGTTGCCTTTTTGTCTTACCTACCAACATGGATAACGATTATATTTTATTTACATGTAACCAAATTTAAAATTTGTAAGTTCACAAAAAACAGTCAGAAGCACAGAATGGCGTCTGTTTTAGAGCTTCTATCATGAATGTAATAATAATAAAAATAATTAATAATAATAAAATAATAATAAAATAATAATAATAATAATAATGTTGAAGACAGAGTAATAAAAACAATAGGGTTTAGATGGAGGATAGGTTGCAGTGGAAGTTAACAAGACGACGGACGGACGGAAGGGGGGTTGATGAAAGTAAAATTCGTCAGGAAACAGGACAAGTGTTTCTTGATGCGGGTCGTAGCCATATGATGACCAGCCACTGGTACTCTTGGTCATCTGACCGAGGCCTTCCGCTGGCTTATCCGCCCACCTCTTTATAAGTTAATTTTTAGTGCATTATGATGGTGGTGGTGGTGTTTTGTGTGTCAGGAAACAGAACAAACGAGTGTCACTAGACAAGGGTCTTTGTACAATGGTGGTGGGGATGTTTCGTCCGTAGGGGAAACTAAACAAGAATCTTCTGTCACATGTCTGTATCAAATTTTTAATTCACCAGGAGACAAGAGTTGATGTTGGTGCTAGTGAGGATAGGAATAAGACAGGTAAACATGCACCAACAGGGAATACAGTCACAAAAACCCAAGCAAACGGAAACCAAGCCTGTGCACATACTATGCACTTGGTATCTGCAGGCATGGGAAATCTGGAAAAACAGATGGGACGTGCAACTATGACCACCCTAGAAAATGCCGTGCCCATATGACAACAGGAAAATGCAAACTCCCTTCCTGTAAGCTTTTTCACCCTGAAATGTGCCCCTCTTCAGTACAGGAAAGATTGTGCTATAACTTAAATTGCCAGGCACCCATCTAAAGGGGGCAAAAGATACAAAACATCCAGGCCATGGGGAAAAACCGGGGTAGCCACAGCCACTCAAAAAGGGGGAGGTTTTTTAGTGCCAGGGAAAGGGAAAAAAAAAATGGCAGGAAATGGCGGAAATCGTACACCAAAAACCAGTCATTCCTGTAGTGGAACCACGTCGATGGCCTCCACTCCAAACCAACAGATACAGATACTAATGGGCCCGGAAAAAAAAAACCCCCCCCAGTTCCAACAATACCACCAGTCCCATGACATTCCTCTTTGAAAATGTACAGGTCTAAAGCCAGCAACAAACAGCAAAATACCTTTCATCGTGGACTGCTTGCAGAGGCAAAGCAATGTTCGCGGCTTTCACAGAGACCCACATAAAGGATCACTTGGACAACGAAAAAATGGACCCCAGGTTACAACCTATACAGTGCGACAGAATGACAGGCAAAAGGGGGGGGGGGGGGTTTGGCCTGTACATCGCGAGTCACTTGTTTGCACAGAACTGCTTAATGCCTCAAATGATGTAGTGGAATTTTTTAGCAGTAAAGATCGAGAACCAAAACCTAGTCATTTGTGGTAGTCTACAAGCCGGGGCCGGGATTAAGAAGTCTCCCGGGCCCTAGGCTATTCAGATTGGGGGGGCCCCCCTTTGAGTTACGGGAAAGCGAAGCGACCCTTCCAGCTTGGGGTGGGGGGGGTCGGTGTGAGCCTGTTTAAGGTCTAATTAAATCATCTGGCTATTTAGATTAAATTTAATAGGGAAAGTACATCAAGACAACCAAACCATTTCCCAACAGCCATTAAAAACTATCTTGTTAAATTATGCATTTTAAGAGAATAAACTCAAGACAGCATAGTATTACTAGATTAGGCTATTAAAGTAGTGACATCATGTACCTATTATATTCAGCATAACCACTACAGCACTATTATTCCCTTTATAAATCACTGACCATTATTGTTATCATTGCATCATGCATAAGACTATCAAATCATATAAACTCAAGAAAGTAAAGAATTGTTTATATTCACAGGCACTTCTTAAATAAACTTTTTTTCTGGATTTCATATTGGCAAAATCATCAATTATATTCTGAAATCAATTTTTCTTTTTAGATCAGACTAAATGGTCAACAAGGCTAGGTTACACAATTTGACTTGGCTCATTGTTGAACGGAGCTGGTTTTTCACTCTTTTCAAAACAGAAAATGAACGTTCTCCTTCACAGTTAGTTAGCTGGAAGTGTTAGTAAAGGCGATACACATGTCAACATTAGGGAAGGTTTCTGAGGATACTTGCTTTTCTTAAATGTTTCAAAGCAGCTGAGGGCGCACATTTTTCAGGTGGAGCTTTAATCTGATTCATATACCCAGAAAAATAACTATTTCTTCAACAAATGTGTCCTGAACATCTGCGAAAGGTGTTTGTTGGGCAACTTTAATGCAGCTTCTCTCAATTCTGCATCTGGCATGTAGTATTTTGAACAGAAATCCAAACTTGTCATTGAGTTTTCTGGTAGATTTCTTTTCTTTTCACCAATTCTGTATCAGGGAATCCAGAGTGACGAGTATGTAGCTTTTCTTACTTTCTGCCTTGGTAGCAACACAATTTCATTGTCTGGCTCTTCAAAATTGCGTTTCCTTTTCCCTTGACCGCTGATGATCAGCCCGGTAAACTGTAGTCTTTCACCAGCAGTTTAGCTTTCTCTTCAAACATTTCAAAAGCTTTACCATTGCGAAGTGAGCTTACAAATTCACTAAGCCTGCTTAGAGGTTAGCACAAAAAACCATTTCAATTTCAATTTTTCTAAAGTGTCTTGTTCATGGCATTTAACCGTTCCAGTTACAGTCCCAAGCACACAGAGTAAGGCCAATTCAAAATCTTCCAATTTTGATGCAAAGGGCTGGCTGCTTCGCTTCTTGTAGTTGCTGTCTGGTCTTCATCCTCTGCTATTTGAAAAAAAGCAGAAACGTATTTCAGCAAAGCTGTCTTTCGAACATGTGTTGCATCATGCTGCGCTACCACCTTGTTGTTGATAATGTTTTGATGACATCTCCATGAATGGTTGACTTGAGAAATACTCCACCGATGCGTTGAAGCAGAGAAAAAATTAAAGAGTGCTTGTAAAAGCCCAAAAATGAAACGGGCAGGACACAACACTCCCAGCACATGACCCAAGATTAAGAAAATTTGTGCTGAGCAGGGCACATATTCAGAAAATGGGTTGATTTGCTTGATACGGGCTTGCAATCCATTATATTTACCCGACATGTTACTTGCATTGTCGTAGCTCTCGGCCACGGCAATCCATAATAAGAGATCATGTTCAAGCAGAGTATCCAGTACTAATTATCATTGTTTCCCCAAATCATGGCCTGAAAGAGGAATGAATTTTTTTAAAGCGCTCTACAGATACCACTGGAGTCGACAAAGCGAAAAAATGAATGTCAATTGATCTGTATGTGAAATATCTGGTGTTGAATCTACACTTTTTGCAAAGTAATTTGCAGTTTTCACAGCTGCTTATGATGTTATTGAGGACCTCTTAGTCATCAGTTCAATAAATTCATTGCATATAGTAGGTGACATGTAAGATCAGTGCCTCTCCTGCATTTCCCATCCGTGACACTGATTTGCTAAGAATGGATCGAATTGTGCTAACAGTTCTATGTTTCCCTAGGAAATTGCCATTGTTTTCCGAACCCAAAAAAACCCCCATTTTCTCCACGGAAAGCAAGCCCTCTTAGACTAAGAATTTTACAAACGCAACAACTCTTTCTAGAACTTTTCTCCAATAAGTGCGCTCTTTTTCAGTTTGATTTTCCAAATGAGAATCCAATAAGCCTTTTTTCTGTGCACGAAATACACTGGCTAAAATGCAGCTCCTGTGAGGGTGCTGTTTTTCATGTTCCTCGAAACGCTGGAATTTTTCCAGTCATTGAACCCCTGTGTGAAGGTTATTTTTTTTGGTAGAAAATAGCTTGCAGCTGAACAGTACACTTTTCCTGAGCTTCAGAGTATCCCATCCATGATCTTTTCACAGTTTCTGAATTTGCAAGCTTCCTATAAAACACAGAGACTTTAAAAAACGACGATTTCCCCATCATCATAAATCCTTGCTGATTTCCTAAAGTCAATTTTCAGAGTTTGACTGAAGTTTTCTGCAATGAAAGCATTACGTAGAGAATCTGGGATTGCATTTGGCCATGAGGCAGGATCTTTTAAGACAAATCCTGTGGATGAAATGTCCCGTTGAGACATGAGAGGAGACAC